AGAGAAAAGAATGAAAAGCACAGGGGGGGATTATATTTCTCACAAACATTTATCAATCAAAACAAGAAACTCTGAATGCAAAATTGAAGCATAATCACAAAGTCAATTTTAAATTGAGGAAAGGTCACAAAAAAAACATGGACCTTTTGAGGATTAAAAAGAAAAAAACTTTATCTAAGATTGCCAGAGATCAAAATAGAGAGGGGCTATGAAAGGAAAAAAACATAGCACGGAAAGACTGCTTTTCCAAATGATTTGGGATTGAAATAATGTATATAGCTCAAATTCAAACCTTGAGAACAAGATAAATCTTTATAGACTGGAAAAGGACTTGTGTTAGATCAGTTAGAAAAATACAGAAACACACTTAACTCTTGAGATGCAGATTTTGTTCAAATAGGAAATCTACGTTGCCTATGGAATGCAATTTTCCCTGGGAACTTAGGGATGATGCACGTTAGTTTTCAAGCAAAGCATCCGCTTAGTCACAGTATGTTTTGCGTCAACAGGACTAGCAATGATCGTTCAAAGAAAGATAGCAACTCCTGGGAACCAATTCCCACTAATCACTCATTCTAAGGGATTGTCACTGAAACCAGGAGCTATCTAGTACACTAAGGTATGCTAAAGGCTTAGCAGCGATCCATCTCCTTGATCTCCTGTCTTGCAGCACCTTCCACTAAAATGGAACTGCACGTGCAGCAGACACTGTTGAACCGATTTAGGAATCAGCCATTCCACTTACATACTTTGTTCCTTTTCTCATTCACTCACCCAACACTTACTTACTGAATAGTCATTATGTGTTCAGTGCTGGACTAAGTTCTAGCAATGGCAAGTCAATAGCAGACCATATCCACCATCTTATGACTTACAGGATGACAATCTTGTATTTCACTTATTAATTTATATCTAAACTCTTTTTAAAAAAAATCAAGAACTCCCTTTAAAACTAAAACAACAGCCTAGACTGCACCCCTTCCATGGGCTCCCAACTAGGGTCCACAGCCCTGGCAGCTATACCAGAGGTTGGATGGCTCTAGGGCCCCAGGTGAGACACCACCCACTAAACTCCCTAAGTCTGCCCAATATTCCCAGATACACCCCAACCCAAGGGCTCCATATTCTGATTTATAACTTCGGAAGAAGACTTTGGCTTTAGTGGAGACCAGGCCAGATCTAGGGGTACCAAGTCCCCAAAACTACAGAGTAGATACCATACTGGGCTTGAAGAATTGCTAGTCACCAGAATCCTTGTCCATTTAGGCTAGAAGACCAGAGAGGAAGAGAAACCAAGGAACAAAATACCCATCAACAAAGACAAATGCAGGAATCAACACTTAGATTTATAATCAACCCAAATCCAGATGCTTAAACACTAATGTAAGAACACAATAATAGAAATGGCAATATGGCATCACCAGAGCCCAGTAGTCAATGACAGTAAGACTTGAACAATCTAATGCAGATGAAATAAAAGAAAATGTATGATCTTAAAAATAACTTTATGGAGATTATCAAGGCCCTTCAAGAAGAAATTTTAAAGAAAGCCCTTAAAAATTGAGGAAAAAAACAAATAAAATATTGGATGAATTCAATAAATCCTGAAAAAAAAGGCCAAGAGAAAAAAAAAAACAGTTGAAGGAAACTGTTCAAGATCTGCAAAAAGAAATAATGAAAGAATAAATAAAGGAAATCCTGGAAATGAAAAATTTGGCTAAAAATAAAACAATAAAAAAGAATCATTTGATAATAAGCATATTGACATAACAGAGCTTAGCTCATAGGCAGGTTGTTTAGACTAATTTCTTTTTCTGAAATATTATTTTAAAAGAATATTATTTTACATACCAGCCCAGTTCCCTCTCCCTCCCATCCTCCTGTTCTTCACAACTTCTCCCAACCCCATCTCCCCAGTTACTCTGCAGAGAGTATGATGGATGAGGCCACCCATGGGAAGTCAAGAAAGTCTGTCACATCAATTGAAGCAAGACCAAGCTCCCCCTGCCCTGCATCTAGACTGAACAAGGTATCCCTCCATTGAGAATGGGCTCCAAAGAACTAATTCATGCATTAGGGATAAACACTGGTTCCACTTCTAGTAGCTTCACGAACTGCCCAAGCTATTCAGAGGGCCTAGTTCAGTCCTATGCAGGTTCCCCAGCCATCAGTCTGGAGTCAGTGAGCTCCCACTTGCTTGGGTCAGCTGTTTCTGTGGGTTTCCCCATCATGATCTTGATCCTTTTGCTCATAATGTTGGTCTTCCCTCTCTATGACTGGACTCCAGGAGTTCAGTCCAGTGCTTAGCTGTGGATCTCTGCATCAGATTCCATCAGTTACTGGATGAAGGTTCTATGATGACAATTAAGGTACTCATCAATCTAGCTAGCCTATAATCCACAACCTTAGAGAAGACAGGAAACAAGGAGAACCCTAAGAGGGACATATATGGATCCCTGGGAAGGGGAAGTAGACAAGATTTCCTAAGTCATTTGGGAGCATGGGAAGAGGGGAGAGGATGGTAGGAGGGTAGAGAGGGGGGGAAGGAGAACATGAGGGATCAGGAAGGTCAAGGTTCATGAAAAAGAGAGAGGAGAGTAAGAAAAGAGATACCTTGAAAGAGGGAGCCATCATAGGGTTAGCAAGAATCCAGGCACTAGGGAAACTCCCAGGAATCCACAAAGATGACCCCAGCTAAGACCCTAAGCAACAGTGGAGAGGGCGCCTTAACTTCCCTACGCCTGTCATCAGATTGATAGCCTAATTTCTTAATGTAAGAAAATAACGATATGTGTCCTCTTAGATGTTGTACATATTCCCCTGGATGGTCCTGCACCCCTGCGTGTATGGCAGCAATTAATGGGTTATAAATGGAATAAAGAGAAAATATGAATTAGTGAGGGGTCTGTGGGGTGTACTCTGGGAGAATTTGTTTGGGGTTATAGGTTTGGTTAAGATCAAAATACATTGTAGCATGTGAAATTATACAAGAATACATACATAAAATCAAATATCAAGTAAAGAAAATACTGTCCCAAATCACTTGCTCATAGATTTGCTACCAGTGTTACAAAGAGCCCTAAAACTCAAGAAAAGGTAAAAAGCAAAATATAGTTAAAGGAACCTAAGAACATCCTTTGTGCAGAATTTGATGGAATAGCTCGGTGTATCTGAAACAGCAAAAGGCAGAGGGTATGTGACATAACACTCCCCTAAATATCCAATACCAAGTGTTTTTAGGTTACTAGTAGCAAAATAATCCAAAGTTTCAACTATAAGAATATTCTTTTAATTATTTTTCTATCCATAAAGATCAATGAACTTATTTTTATTTCCAAAGCACTAATATGGATCCACTGAGAATAAAAATGAAACCCTCTCTTTTTAAGAAACAAATATGTTTAATTTTGTTTATACATGTAATAAAGGATCAAATGGGATATAAAGGTGCATTTGGCAGAAAGACTGTGTGAGTTAACAGGCAATAGTAATAGTTGACGGAATAGTAATATTCTGAAAAGTCTTTCTTTTATGCCCTGCATCTATTAACCCTCTGTAAAATATATGTATTTTAAAATGTATAAGTTTTGCCTGCCTTGTATATATGCATACCACATTCACGCCCAGGGCTCAGAGAGGTCAGAAGAGGATGACAGATTCCAGAAACTAGAATAGACAGTTGTGATTCCACATGTGCGTGCTGAGAATGGAACCCAAGTCCTCTACAAGGACAAGTGGTCTTAATTACCGAGCCATCTCGCTAGCACCCAAACCCTCTTCTTGTTTAGATGCCTTTGTAAATAGAAAATGTTAGAGAAAACATGATCGCATTATTGGTGCCATATTTGAGAGTTAATTCCAGCTAACTGACTTCCAGCTATCAAGAACACGTAGACAGTCACACCTATGATTTGCCCCATAGTGTAGAATTTCTTAGATATCACCACCTTTGTGGAGACTAGAGTGAGACCATGGATGCCTTTCTCTGCCACTTCCTGACTTGGCTCCTTGAGACAGGATCTCTCACTGGATTTTATGAGATCAGCCTTTCTTTACTCATATTGCTGGGTGAGAGCAGCCATGCCCAGCTTTTACAAAGGTGCTGGGAACGAACTCAGAACTTGGGTCCTCATGATTACTAAGCAAGTGCTTGTACTCATAGCTCTGTCTCCCTAGTCCTTGCCCCCCCCCACTTCTATTTTTATAATAGCCCTCTGACAAGTAGAATGAGGAACCATGCTAACTTATAAACCATCCGTGGAAATGAGAGTGGTTTAATGGAAACACAAGAATGACTTAGATAAAGTAGCAAAGAAACAGATACTAGAGATGAAGGGCTCTAGTCTCAGCAGGTGGGCTCTCTTCCTTCGAGGGACACAGAAAGACATCTTCCACAGAGCTTAGTCAGGGCTGGTTCTCAGTACCTGTTCAATGAATGACCACTCTGTGGAAGCCAGTAGCTTTTGTGGCACATTCTACCAGGACTCTCATCTGTAACATTTCTCAGAAGATGCACCATGCCCCTTCTGAAAAACCTGTGAAGGTGAGCTGGCTTTCTGCGAGACATGTCAAGGTGGGAAAAAAGTCAAAGATGATTTCACTGAATTGCTAACTGATGGACAATGTTAGACTCGATTCAAATAGATTTGGGGCTATTTCTTAGTCTTCTGGTATGTATTTCTCTGTGTGATTAAAACTTGGGGTATTACACAAAAGCATAAAACCACTTTTCATTTATTCTACTCCACATTGTACTGAGGTTTTTAGGGAAGCAACTGTCAAAGAAAAAAAAAGAAAGGCTTTAGACAGTAAAGGAAGTAGCAAAGCTTAACTTGGGTAAGGACCATCAGAAGAATCTCAAATCTATTATAATTACTAAAGGAATGAATATACATGGGAAATATCAAGTTAGTTTCTGAACAATCAGTATAAAACACAGAGGTAATTCTGTCAACAACAGCAGCTCTACTCTTGCTACATGGATTGAATGCGGTACTTACAAATTCCCGCCACTTTCTTGCTTTCAGAAATGGGAAAGTTGACTTAGAATTCACAAGGAGCTAAGGAAACCCAAGGAGCCACCACAGTCCTGAAAAAGATGAATACTGTTGAGTCTTGGGTTGAAAACTTATTACAAAGTGCTGGTAACTAGAACTGTGTGAAGCAATACGGACATACAGACAGAACAGATTTAAGAGTCCAGGCATATTTTCTCTCTCTCTCTCTCTCTCTCTCTCTCTCTCTCTCTCTCTTACACTAAATGGTACTAAAATAACTAGATATCTGTGTGCTGGTGAACTCTTAAATCATTCACAAGTTGCAAAATGTGTCATATACTTTAATGTAAGTGTAAACAGCAAAATTCTTAGAAGAAAATGTAGAGGTAAATCATCATGGGCTCGGTTCAGGTAAAACCCTAATTATAATACCCAAATTATAAGTGAAGAGGGAAAAAGACAAACTGATCTCTAAGTGAAAGTATTTTTGCTGTATATAATAATATTAATAAAATAAGACAGTAAGCCAATGAAAGAAAGAAAACATTTATAAATCATTTATCTGATAAGAGAGTTATTTCTAGGCTAGGATATAATATAAAAGCAGAACTCTTTTGACTTAATGTTAAGAATAAATAATCCAAGGCTGGGCAGTGATGGTGCCTTTAATCCCAGCACTTAGGAGGCAGATACAGGCAAATATTTGTGAGTTCAAGGTCAACCTGGTCTACAAGAGCTAGTTCCAGGACAGGCTCCACAGCTACAGAGAGACCCTGTCTTGAAAACCATAAATAAATAAATAAACAAACAAATAATTTGAACAAACACTTCACACAAGAAAATACAAAAGTGATTATGAAGCTCTTGAACAGATATTAAACACCATTAACTTTCAGAAAAGAGCAGGTGATAAACTCAAGGACCTGTACTTCCAATGCAAGGATGACAATAAAAAATGTTAGAAAAAAGAAATGGTTAGCAGGAACATGGAAACATAGGATCCCTTCAAGTATAGCTGGTGAGAATGAAACATTTTTGGAACTGATTTTAGTATACACACACACACACACACACACACAACTATGTCTATGCAAAACCCTGTACATGAATATTCATAGAACTATTTTCATATTAACCAAAAAGTACAAACTATCCAAATGTCCATTAACAGATAAGGAGGGGGTGTTGTCTAAATCTATACAAAGAGTATTCTATGGCAATGAAAATATTAAAGTATTAGTACAAACTATGACATGGACTCTGAAACCTGAGGATCAGTTTCCTCACTGGTAGGGGTAATTATTTACAAGCACTATAACCTCTCTTTTTCCTGGCTAAAATTCTACATGGAATCCCAATGCACGAAGCAAAGAGAAATCCAATTTCTATTGTACAAATGGAGGAGGAGATTCTTGATCTCACCCACTTATGGGCATTTCTCAAGTTGGTGTCTGCAGCATCTCCATGTAGCTACAGAATATTCCAAGTTTAACAGGTCCCATAGAATACTGTTTAAAATAAAAATAAGCATGTTGGGTTACTTTTGAATATTAATATTATGTTGTTCATTACTTACTGGCATGGAATGTAATACATCTTAACCATGGGTATGGTTAAGAGCACTGTCTGCTCTTCCAAAAGTTCTGAGTTCAGAATCCAGCAACCACATGGTACCTCACACCCAACCATCTGTAATGAGATCTGGTGCCCTCTTGAGGAAGAGACCAGGTCAGTTGTCCTCATTAACATAGACCATGAAACCCAATATGGACAAGTTAAACAGAACAGCCATATATGGGCTTCCTGTGCATGCTTTATATAATATATAGATCTTCTCTCTACTTTTTTGTGTTAGAAGTGTTAAAATTTGGGAACATGTATATGTTAGAAGCATCATGTTCATTGATACTGATAATCTTTATATATTGTGGCTTCAAAGCACAGTTTAAACACCCTAACTATAGTCACAAATTGTGAGGTAGTCACAGGCTAAGCATTTGTGATGACATTCTTACCAAGATCAGTGGCCTGGGGACACTGCCTTCCACAGTGGGCAATGAAGGAGACCCAAATAGGACATGAATTCAGACATAATCAATGTAAGCTAATGAGCTTCAGCAAGTACAGTGCATGTCCAATGGATGTTTGTCTCAGGGGGGACTGTTTGAGACGGCCTTATAATCATCAGAGGGTTACAAAATGTTCTTTTTCTTCAAGGTCCTCTAAAATTTGGTGAGTATTTTATCCATCAATTTGAGGTAAACCAAATCCATTCCCCCCTTATTCCTTAGTAGATTGATTTAGTGCTCCCCTAGAAACAGAAACTTAAATCTTGCTACTACAATGTTAAATAAAGCATATTTTATTATCTGACTTCTTTTTTATATTTTTGGGTAGTAGATCGTGGTAGCATACAAGGAAATGAAGTCTTGAGATGCATCTGTAAGATCATGACGTCATCTCCTGACTACTTCTAAGAGTTTCTAAAATGTTGCTTACTTGCCTTTGGACATGTGATCGAAAGGTTATGTAGGTTCTTCATGGTTTACTACCCAGTGATGAAAAAGAATTCCCTTATCAGAGTCTTCTAAACCATTTTTCTGAAGGTCTATTCAGTGATAGGAGGAACTCCACTGAGCATGTGCTCTTGCAGGGCTTTCCCTGACTTCACATTCCTGAGAGAAACCCAACGGCACCAGCCTCTTTTGCTACCACCCAACTCCTCTTCTTGACATCTCCAGACTGCTTGTCAAAACCCTTGTTCTACACACCCTCTAAAAAAGGGAACTTAGATTTATCTCAGGCCAAATTTGTGGCTTTTTTAAGGGATTATTTGTTCATGGCCGCCACTTAACAATGTCTCCAGAGAGCACTCAGTTATGTCCAGGGATTATCCCTACTTCTTTTGATGCTGTCTGTATTAAAAAAAATAATCAACTTGAAGTTGACTAATAGAAGAAACTTCTCTAAGTTCCTACTGTTTTCTTGTTGCCCTCAGTTTTGGAAGGTATCACCATCATCTACAGGAATATTGAAAACCAATTCCCAGGCTCCTCTCTGGCTCTGAATGCATAATTCAGCCAAGAAGGATGATGTCCTCGGGTGCGCTTTTACAGCAAGGACTCTAGAATGCTTGGTGCTGATGGCCTAGGATTAGCATGTTGAGCATCAACTACTTAGTCAGTTTTAGAGCTGTATGTTGCAGCTATTTTAGCATCCATTATCTGAGGTGCCATTTCTGAGTACTGCTTCTTCAGTCTCCATCACTTTAGAGTTAATAATATATTCCACACATAGAATGTCCTGTTTTTGTATTTCATTGACAAGTCTCCATTTTCCTTTTGCCTGAGTTCTTATATAAAATCCCTACGTGCTTCATATAACAGGAATATGCAGTGGGAGTGGAGTGGAATGAAGGACCCAGGTAAACCAGTCTGTTCACCTGTTTGGTGTTCCTTTGTGATGGGTGTTCTATCTTCTAGTTTAGTATCAGGAATCAGACAGACCATCTATACAGTCTGACAGCATCGGGCTGGGAAATTATTGATTTTCAAAAATCATCAAATGCAAATGTCTAGATGTAGCTGACAAGAGGAGTCTGACAACAACTCTACCATTAATTTCTTTTTCTTTCCTTTTTTTTTCCAGACAGACTTTCTCTGTGTAATAGCTCTAGCTGTCCTAAAACTAGCTCTGTAGACCAGCCTAACCTCAACTCACAGAAATCTGCCTGCCTCTGTCTACCAACTCCTGGGATTAAATGTGTAAGATCTGCCATTAATTTATTAATATCAACCCTGTGTTTCTGTTTTGAAACCTGTATGTTGCTTTGCAGAAAGGCCTTTGTGTGTTAATATGAAGCAGAGGTTTTACACAAAGAAGGGTTTCTAATTCTTTATTCTTTATACAGATTTCAAATTGATGATGGAAACTATCAAATTTCAGAATGTGTAATACCTTTATCCTCTTAGCATATCGAATTGGGAGGTAACAGGGTTTTAACCAATACTTAGATTGTTGTGTAGCAGGACATTTCTAGCTAAAGAAGGAGGGTTACACAGAGGCCCTTCATTTCTTTTCAATTCTTTCTGCAGTTCTCAGGCATTGCCAAATCTACTAAGCTGAAGAGGAACCTGCCCTGGGATTCTGTTTTCCCTGGGATTCTGTATTTCTGCAGTGAAATTCTTCAGGTCTGACATCTTACAGACCTAAAATTATAGCAAGTTAATGCATAAGCCTTATTAAATCATCCTTAGACACGTGAACACAGTTGGTGTGCTTCAGCACTGGGAAAATTACTCTGTGGAATTAGCCTGCTGAGCTGGAAGAAAATGGAGAACACTCGGTGAAGGGGGGGAAAGTGACAAAAACTGTAATCACTAATGGTTTTTAATTATAATTGCATAATAGTCTCTTGACAGAAGGACTCCTCATTGTTTTGATAATTCCTGCCACTGGTCCATTAGGCTCCTGCATACTCACACAAGCATCTAGACTAGAAAGCCAGAGAATGTGAGACTAACATCTAACTGCACTCAAGGGCCCTGAAGTAGATCAGTTCAGTGGTGCTCTCCCAGTTCACTAGTACCAAGTTCTTGGAATCTGAGAAACGACAAGCAGTTTCCAATTTATATGCCAGACAGTGTTTTTATCTTAAGATAAAATGACAAGATAGAGTAACATTTAGCCTATTATTTGCTTTAGTTTTGAATATCCTGACCACCATAAAGAGTGTGTCAATAAATATTAATCTACTCATATATGTGTATATATACATATATAAGTATATATACTTATACACATATATGTATGGTTCTATCAAGAGTTTAAGTATGTGTTAACACTTGAAACTACTACACTAAAGAGGCCAATACTGTTTGCAAATTGAAAAATTATCGAATAATTTAGAAAAATTCTGAAAATAATTCAGAACGGGCCTATCAACTGCATTATTCTAATGTAAACTATTACATAGAACATAAGGATGCTTTGATTCAGTCACACCGGTCCACCAGGCTAATCTCACTCAAAACCAAATGAAAAATCCTTAATAAAACTGAGATATTGCAGTGGATAGTAACTTTGGGTTGGAAAG